TGTGGAGAGTTGTCTCATTGGCAATCATACCACATCTTCTTTTTATATCACAGGGAAATTGAGATAAAGGATACTACCGAAAGTGGAAAGACTGCTGCACAGTTTGATCGTTTCATCGATATTGACACATTTAGAAGACTTCAAATTTGATACTACGACAAACGTGATGATTTCAAATAGTCAGTTTTCAATTTCGCAACAGAATCATACCCTCTGCTCCATCGTATGGTGTTTACACATATCAGGTAATATGTTACTCTCGCGCATGTTCACACTATACGGACTTCATTAACCGACCGAGGTATAATCCTTACACAAAGACTGCTGTAACAGAGCTATGCGGAAGAAGGAATGAAATCTACACTATACATACGTTTTACGGTCACTATTACGAATTATCTGACCCTTACGATGTGTCGGTGTCTCAACTCTATTGAGACATGTTTAAGCGGTGTTAGATCTATGGATACCAGTGGATGGCGGTTGATGTTTCCTACAAGTAAACTCTATCGCCGCACCAGGTCTTCATGGAGTTCATGCGATTCCCTCTCCATGGCGGTTGATGTTTCCTACAAGTAAACCCTATCGACGCACCAGGTCTCGATGGAGTTCATGCGATTCCCTCTCCATGGCGGTTGATGTTTCCTACAAGTAAACTCTATCGACGCACCAGGTCTCGATGGAGTTCATGCGATTCCCTCTCCATGGCGGTTGATGTTTCCTACAAGTAAACTCTATCGACGCACCAGGTCTCGATGGAGTTCATGCGATTCCCTCTCCATGGCAGTTGATGTTTCCTACAGGTAAACTCTATCGACGCACCAGGTCTCGATGGAGTTCATACGATTCCCTCTCCATGGCGGTTGATGTTTCCTAAAAGTAAACTCTATCGACGCACCAGGTCTCGATGGAGTTCATACGATTCCCTCTCCATGGCGGTTGATGTTTCCTATAAGTAAACTCTATCGACGCACCAGGTCTCGATGGAGTTCATGCGATTCCCTCTCCATGGCGGTTGATGTTTCTTACAAGTAAACTCTATCGACGCACCAGGTCTCGATGGAGTTCATGCGATTCCCTCTCCATGGCGGTTGATGTTTCCTACAAGTAAACCCTATCGACGCACCAGGTCTCGATGTTTCCTACAAGTCAACTCTATCGACGCACCAGGTCTCGATGTTTCCTTCAAGTAAACTCTATCGACGCACCAGGTCTCGATGTTTCCTACAAGTAAACTCTATCGACGCACCAGGTCTCGATGTTTCCTACAAGTAAACTCTATCGACGCACCAGGTCTCGATGTTTCCTACAAGTAAACTATATCGACGCACCAGGTCTCGATGTTTCCTACAAGTAAACTCTATCAACGCACCAGGTCTCGATGTTTCCTACAAGTAAACCATATCGACGCACCAGGTCTCGATGTTTCCTACAAGTAAACCCTATCGACGCACCAGGTCTCGATGTTTCCTACAAGTAAACCCTATCGACGCACCAGGTCTCGATGTTTCCTTCAAGTAAACCTTATCGACGCACCAGGTCTCGATGTTTCCTACAAGTAAACCCTATCGACGCACCTGGTCTCGATGTTTCCTACAAGTAAACTTTATCAACGCACCAGGTCATGATGTTTCCTACAAGTAAACTCTATCGACGCACCAGGTCTCGATGTTTCCTACAAGTAAACTATATCGACGCACCAGGTCTCGATGTTTCCTACAAGTAAACTCTATCGACGCACCAGGTCTCGATGTTTCCTACAAGTAAACCATATCGACACACCAAGTGTCGATGTTTCCTACAAGTAAACCCTATCGACGCACCAGGTCTCGATGTTTCCTACAAGTAAACCCTATCGACGCACCAGGTCTCGATGTTTCCTTCAAGTAAACCTTATCGACGCACCAGGTCTCGATGTTTCCTACAAGTAAACCCTATCGACGCACCAGGTCTCGATGTTTCCTACAAGTAAACTCTATCGACGCACCAGGTCTCGATGTTTCCTACAAGTAAACTTTATCGACGCACCAGGTCTTGATGTTTCCTACAAGTAAACTCTATCGACGCACGAAGGTCTTGATGTTTCCTACAAGTAAACCCTATCGACGCACCAGGTCTCGATGTTTCCTTCAAGTAAACTCTATCGACGCACCAGGTCTTGATGTTTCCTACAAGTAAACTCTATCGACGCACCAGGTCTCAATGGAGTTCATGCGATTCCCTCTCCATGGCGGTTGATGTTTCCTACAAGTAAACCCTATCGACGCACCAGGTCTCGATGTTTCCTACAAGTAAACTCTATCGCTGCACCAGGTCTCGATGTTTCCTACAAGTAAACTCTATCGATGCACCAGGTCTCGATGTTTCCTACAAGTAAACTCTATCGACGCACCACGTCTCGATGTTTCCTAAAAGTAAACCCTATCGACGCACCAGGTCTCGATGTTTCCTACAAGTAAACTCTATCGACGCACCAGGTCTCGATGTTTCCTACAAGTAAACTCTATCGACGCACCAGGTCTCGATGTTTCCTACAAGTAAACCCTATCGACGCACAAGGTCTCGATGTTTCCTACAAGTAAACTCTATCGACCCACCAGGTCTCGATGTTTCCTACAAGTAAACTCTATCGACGCACCAGGTCTCGATGTTTCCTACAAGTTAACTCTATCGACGCACCAGGTCTCGATGTTTCCTACAAGTAAACTCTATCGACGCACCAGGTCTCAATGGAGTTCATGCGATTCCCTCAGTTGTTATTTTATTCTTATTCGATCTGACGAGTCAAGCCTTTTGCAACTAATTTTTACAGTTTGTTCAGTGTTTTGCTGTTTCAACACTAGCATTCACAACACATCTTCTTGATATTCTAGAAAAATCTTTTTTTTCTGCACAAAACAAAACAAAACAAAACAAAAACAAGACAAAAAACAAAACAAAACAAAACAAAACAAACAAACAAACAAACAAAAACAAATCAAAACAATATTACAAAGATAAGTTCCTGTCTTTAGGTCCGACACATGATCATACGAAGGGGTAAACTATTATTTGAAATCTTAACCTCTCTATTTACATATTGATACATGTTATTACAAAAGATAAAAACACATCGTTGTTCCAACGCCATATTTAATCCTTAAATCATAGCAAGCTATCTAAAAAGTAGATATAAAAAGCATAATTCCCTTATTTTTATATCAAACTGCTATTTGGAATTTTTATTTAAAAAAAAATGCATAAGGCAATCATAATTGCTATTGATGGTAAACTTATGTCTTTGAAAGAGTTTTCTCCAGATAAATTCAATCGTCAATTTTACATCATGTGATTTTTTCCGATAATGTGAACCAAGGATAAACAGATCTGAACAAATGAATACCAGTGTCAATATCAAAAGATCAAATCTAGTGTTGACTGTTAGAATAATAAAATAAAAAAAAAAAAAAAAAAAGGAGAAAGCGGCTCATGTCTTGGTTTTCCAGTGCTAAATTTTGAAATTTTGCTCAATAAGGAAAAATTCAGTTTGTGTTTTTTTACTGCTTAAAAATGCTTGAATAATTGAATAAAAGAGGCTGATTGTATCTATTGATTTCTGTTACTTGATATTTATCAGTCATCAGCTAAACATACCGTCGTAATTAACATACATATAATTGTTCTTTTAAATAAATTGAAACATTTTTCAAAGAAAGAAAATGCAGTTATAGACCAAAACAGATCCGATTCAGTGGTATGGAAACCTTCATTCTACATTATTCAAAAGGATATTTGAGATAAGATACTCTAAGGAATGACATTACAGTTTGTTGAAACGAACATTTTGTATTGATATTTTATATGTTTCCCAAATGATTTGGTTGAACGTCATTTGAAAAAGGATTTTAAACCCTTACCATTAAATTTTAATTTTAAATACTCGCTGCGGTTAACTTGTAACGATTATCTTTGTTCAGAATACTTTCTTAATGTAAGTAAAATATAAAATCTAAAAATGCCAAGCTCATACAATTCACAGGTTTATCATAATGACTTCCTTTTTTGATTTTATGCGACCTTATATGATTAACAGTTTTCTCAAAATGTCTCGCTGTTAGAACGTCATCTGATATCGAGCATGGTTTCTCAGAATGTCTCGTTGCTTTAATTTGTTCTGATATCAAACGTGTATACTTCTAAGGTTTCATATTTATGTATATGTGAATTATGTGGCTTGTCCTTAATAGCTATACATATATTTATGTATATGTGAATTATGTGGCTTGTCCTTAATAGCTATACATATATTAAGGTATATGTGAATTATGTGGCTTGTCCTTAATAGCTATACATATATATTTATGTATATGTGAATTATGTGGCTTGTCCTTAATAGCTATACATATATTTATGTATATGTGAATTATGTGGCTTGTCCTTAATAGCTATATATATTATGGTATATGTGAATTATGTGGCTTGTCCTTAATATCTATACATATATTAAGGTATATGTAAATTATGTGGCTTGTCCCTAATAGCTATATATCTTTTCTGTAGCTTGTTTTAACAGCTGTATATCTTTTATTTCATTAGATCACTACGCCAATAGTTTAAAGCTTGTTACTAATTTTCCGATTTCTTAATCAGAGTTCCAGAAAATCATCAATATAATTACAATGAAATAGAAAATACAGCTGAATAAAAGACATCAATAAGTTGATCGTCTACCTGGTTTTTAATACAGTAACGGAATGGTAAATAAACCTTACAACAAAGATCAATATAGATATGTAACTTTATCATCTTTTGTTTCATCAAGTGGGAGCCACAGTGGAATGTTTGACAATAAACATACTAGAGCCGGGGAATTGTTTTCATTTCCAGTTAAGTACACCTTTCAAATGATATTTACCCAATCAGAATCAGGAATAATAATATGCCATGAAAGGATAACAGTTCAGTGAACGTTGACAAATGCGCCAATCCGTGATTAGATTCAAATGCAGCATGCACTACAATTAAACACAATTGATTTTTTGAGACATCGTAAAGATGGTGTTGAATATTTTACAAGTTATGGAAGTCTAAGAGAATGAAGGATGTATTCTGTTAAGTTTGTCATCGGAATTTTCTTTTTTCTTTCATTAACAGGTAAGAACTTTTAAAAATTATATTTTTTATGAATATATTAATTCTAATATAAAGTTATAAACATCATTATCGTATGTTTTTCATCAAAACTAGCGTGTACTTTATTGATATAGGACTTGTGTGTTAACCTTCTTGCTAAATTCAAAAACGTTTAATCATAGACTTTACCGCATGCAAGATATCTACCTAAAATAAATATTTTTTTAAAATATGTAGTCATTGTTGACAATTGTGGGAGAGTTCGATTCGGATCAAGGATCAGTTGCTATATATCAATATAAAGAGTATTTGTCGTGGTTGGCATTAAAACATGTTATATTTGAAAAGCTGTCATCAGAGAAAACAATAGCTATAAATAACTTTATATAGAATATACAATATCTATGTATGACTCTAAAAGAATATGCAATATTCAATATGCAATTTAATTGTGATTTAGGTTAATTAAGTGCGTTTGATGGTCCTTTTTATTTAATTGACAGTTTGACTTTTCCATTCTATTCACTACACTTTTACACAAACTTATCAAACACAATTTCCTATTTTAAACGGTTGTTTTAAAATATGATTTCAAATATATTTGCTGCAACTCATGCCTTCTACTGTAATGAAGAATGTAATTATGCTAGGTATACTTACTGGAAGTCTCCTTGACACCCCACATGCACGTTTCAGCAATTTTATCGACAGATCGTAGTTGTTCCTTTTAATTACAGAATACTCCTGTATTATTGTGAACCAGTTTTAATGGCAAAACACTGTGAAGACCCGTCTAAGTTCCATTTAAATGAGAAGTTCAATAACACTAACCATTATCTTGATGATTTACTTTTGTTAAATAATCAAGAAGTCTCTAGATATACTGCCGGAAAGAAACTTACTTTAAATAAATCAAATATAAATAGAAATATATGTCCTTTCATAGGTTTAGATATTTCAGTGTTACATGAGAAACTCTCAGAAAAATCCAAATAAGTTTTCTTTCCGCATTGTTAATTTTCCTTTTTTTTTCCCTATCGGTAATTTTCCTTTTTTGGTCATTGATGTTCATTTTGCCCTATCTTACGGTGTCTGTATATCCCAACTCGTTCACTATGCTCATGTCTGTAGTGATGTTTCGGATTTAAATGAGCAGAATCTATGTATTATTGGTATATTAGTAAGTCAAGGATTTCGTTGTCACATATTAAAAAAACATTTAAACTTGAGATGAAAAGATTTGGTACCCATTGGTGGTCTTCGGCTGTTGTCTGCTCTTTGGTCGGGTTGTTGTCTCTTTGACACATTCCCCATTTCCATTCTCAATTTTATTGATAAGGAAGTTTGGTTGTACCTGTAGAAGACTTATTACGAACGGAATATCACACCTTAATTTTTACGGTGATGTTATTTATTGAGCCCGTAGACGTAAATTTAGACACGACCTGTATAAACTTCTTATGTTGTTCAGTCTTTAGTTTTCTATGTTGTGTTTTGTGTTCTGTTGTTTGTCTGTTTGTCTTTTTCTTTTTTAGCCGTGGCGTTGTCAGTTTATTTTCGACTTATGAGTTTGAATGTCCCTTTTGTATCAATCGCCTCTCTTTTATCGATCCTTTAAATCAACTTATTTTTAAAAGTAACCAATTCATTACTCTGCAATTGAATATTGTTTTATAAATAAAACACAACTCAATATTATTGCAATTCCGCTATGAACATTCACGGTCCGACATTCTGTCGATACCTATATCTTGACATTGCGCAAAATCATGTTTTTTTCTCCGACTGTTTATGACGTCCTTTTGATATTATTGTAATACACATTCTGTATGTGCCTGTCCTAAGTCAGCAACATGTAGTTCCGTGGTTTTCCCTTGTTACTGTATATCAAATTTGCTTTGTACAGTGCGTTATAATGTTGTACTGTTGCGCCATTGTGCCAGGTAAGAAGAACATGTTTTAAGTCTATCACATTTTGGTACAAGTCACTGATGGTTTGATATGGGCATGATTTGAATGATAGATTTTCAAAAGGATACAATTCCATATTGCCTTGGCACAAACATGATTTAAATGATAAATTACCAACAGGGTAGAATTCGCGAGTGCTTTGGTATGAGCCTGATTTGAATGATTGATATCCAAGAGGGTACATTTCTCTAGTGTTTTGATATGAGCATAATTTGAATGAAAATTTACGAAGAACTTACCTTTTACTAGTATTTTGGTATGAGCCTCATTTACATGATATATTTCCTAGAGGGTACAATTTAATAGTGCTTTGATACTAGCATGATTCGAAGGATAGAATTCCAACAGGATACGATTAACTAGTGCTTTGGTATGAACATGATTTAAATAATTGATTTCCAAGAGGAAACCTTTCATAAAAGAGAGACGAAAGATACCAGAGGGACATTCAAACTCATAAGTCGAAAATAAACTGACAACGCCATGGCGGCTAAAAAAGAAAAAGACAAACCTACAAACAGTAGTACACAAAACAAAACATAGAAAACTAAAGACTGAGTTACACGAACCCCTGTGGGTGATCTCAGGTGCTCCGGAAGGGTAAGCAGATCCTGCTCCACATGTGGCACCCGTCGTGTTGCCATGTTAGTACAAACCCGGTAATAAGTCACAAGTGCTTTGGTTCTGCGAATGATTTAAATGATAGCTATCCAAGAGGGTATGATTTGCTGGTGCTTTGATGTAAACATGATTTGAATGATAGATTACAAAGAGGATACAATTCACTGGTGCTTTGATATGATAGATTTGGAAGAGGGTACAATTTACTATTGTATTCATATGAGCATAATTTTAATGATAGATTTCCAAGATGATACAATTCGCTAGTGTTTTGGTACGAGTATGATTTGAATTTTAGATTACCAACAGGGTAGAATTTGCCAGTGCTTTGGTATGAGCCTGATTTGAATGATAGATTTTAAGGAGGATACAATTCACTAGAGTTTTGATATGAGCATAATTTGAATGACAGATTACTAAGAGGGTACAATTCACTAGTGTTTCGATATGATAATGATTTGAATAATAGATTTCCTAGAGGGTACAATTCACTAGCGCTTTGGTATGAGTATGAATCAATTGATAAATTTCCAAGAGGTACACTTCACAAGCGCGTTTGTACGAGCATAATATGGATGATGGACTTAGGAAACTAAGATATATATAGAGATGTATAGATATAAAGCACACATATTTAAATGTGCAAAACTATTATATTGCTCGCTCCAAAAAAAAATGCTTCCCTTGATTAAAAATAAAATATCAAAACACAATGTTGCTCGCTTGAATATAACTTGTGCTATTCATTTCGTTTAACAAATTAGTAAGAACATATTGTTTCTATCTAGAAAAAAATTCTTTCGCCTCTGAAAATAAGTATTTTGAACAAATATCAAAAATAATATTTTCGCTCGCTCGCTTAACTTTCTCGACAGTTGAAGTCCGAAGAACAAGAAAAAACATTTGTCGTGATCTATAGAGATAAACTTATTTACTCACTTTCGGCAGTCCAACTGATTTTTTTCTCTCTATTCACTCTTAAACCATTGCCGTGACGTCAGTATTCATTTACCGTGGTTACTTTTTCTAGAATCAACGCGCCCTAAATCTGTTGCTGAAATGAACTCACCAAATTATATTCAATTGTTTCCTTTATTAATTTTATTTATAGAAATAAGAATATGTGGTATAATTGCCAATGAGACAACTCTCCATCAGAAACCAAATGACATAGAAGTTAACAACTATAGGTCACCGTATGGCCTTCAACAATGAGCTTAATAAGTTTGAATTGTCTTATTTCTGATTTTTGTTCAGTAATGGAATTATTTCAAAGACTTACCATTAACTTTTGTGAAATTTTATTTGCCTTCACTGGGAATCTAACCTCCTCCCTGAAATGTATTATGTATGACCGATTTCAAACACATCAACGAAACCTCTCGGCTACCAATGGGTTGTAATCAAGATGTCTATCTTATATATATCAATGGACATAAACTGATTTTAAAATTTAATACAATGGACAAACAGGGCGTGCACATTTATACAAAGGGGAGTATTGAGATCTCACAAAACATGTTTATAGTGTGTCTTTCTATGTTGTGATGCTACACATGTTTCAGGTAGGATGAAGGTTGGCGCCTATTAAAACGTTTAAACCCACTGCATTTGTTTGCACCTTTCCTAAGTCAGGAACCTAATGTTCAGTGGTTGTCGTTTGTTGATGTGGTTTAAAAGTGTTTCTCGTTTTTTATATAGATTAGACGTTTGGTTTTCCTGTTTGACTGGTTTTACACTAGTCATTTTTGGGGCCCTTTATAGCTGTTCGGTGCGAGCCAAGGCTCCGTGTTGAAGGTCGTACTTTGACCTTTAATGATTTACTTTTACAAATTGTGACTTGGATGGAGACTTGTCTCATTGGCACTCATACCACATCTTCTTATATCTATTAACCCGGCCGTATTTTTGCGCCTGTCCCATGTCATAAACCTCTAGCCTTTGATAGTCTTGTGTGTTTTTTAAATTTGGTTCATAAATATGCTTCGGTGTTAAGTGTGGCGTCAATTTCGCTGAACTAATATACATTATTGTTTAGGGTCAACGTCTCAACAAAAGTTTAAATAATAGACACAATGGGTAAGCGTTGCATTGTTAAATAGATACCACTCACCCCCTGAGTTCGAGTTATCTTTCTAACGAACAAACGCGTATCCATTGTATCTGCATTATATAATTTCCTGTAAAGTTACCAAAACTTATCAAGCTATTTATGACAGTATCTACAAGATTTCTTTGTTAATTTTATTTATGATTCGTTGATTTTATCCTATAAATGTGTTTTTTAATGCACCGATGTATCGTGATCGATATTTAGCGAAAACATTAACTTAAACTGGTGCAAGTGGTCGTTCTAAACTGGCAGTTCGGTGAGTTTTCCCCGTGTTTAAGGCCTAACTGTCACTTTGATAAAAAGAACACCGATACAA